TTTTCAGATGCAGACTGTCTTCTTCTGTGCATGTATCTTAGCATGTACACGGTACCACCATCATGGCAGACACAGGCTGGATGGATGAGTAGACCAGAGCCAAATGGTCATCTCTGACATTTACTTTTGTTTCAAAGGTAATGCAGCCCAAATTAACCTAAAACCACAGATGTCTCTCACAGAAAAATGCATTAAACACTATAATTCTTTAAGATTGTTTTCCCTTCATCAACAAGAAGTCATGTAATGACAAAACAAGAAAAATCTTGCTAATGAGTTGCTTCCTTCAATGATTTCTATAATTAGAATGGGGTGGATGAGTCAGTTAAGAAAGTAATACATAGAAAGGAAGCAGAATTTACTGAGGCAGTAAAGGGATTCCGATCTGGGTAGTGGTTGAGGAAGCTCAACTGATGCAAATCAGGCCATTAAGAACTTCAGAAGAGGTAACAATCCTAACCATCATCGAGTGAGGTACAAGATAGGGGTGGTCTTGAAAACCCCATTACTATTGCAAGGGGCTTAGTTTGTTGACTTGAAATTTGGGTAAAACCATTGTAGAAATAGCAACCAGTACTTGACCAGCCCAGAATCTCGAACCATGAATGTATCACAGTCCTCAGTTTAGATAGGTTACCTTGGTAGGATATCAAAACATACTCAGAGATTATGGCAAGTAAATCAAACCCATGATATCAGTAACCCATGTCAAAGTGAGGAATAAGTTTCTGATTATTGTGGTATTTTGTTATTTAAGATAAATGTATTAGAGAATCTGATACTTTAAATTTCATTTGAAATACTTAAAGGAATGTGAAATTAGATCTATGATTTTAATTTTTAAAAATGTTGAAGACATTTTAAGTTTATAAACACTGTTTAAAGATTTTGATTTATTAAATCTATGAGTTTAAGGATGTTCATATTTGAATGCTTAGGAAGACTTCACCCAATTTTAGGTCTTTCTTATTAGCTAATGGAAATGTTTATGGAAATCAAACAGATTAAATATGTGGTTGACTTTGAAATGTCTAAGGAAACTAGATTAAGTGTACAAGCAATGTTTACAGTGTAACCCATTAGAGTTTTGAGTGGATTGAGCATTAATCCAGGAATAAGCAAAAGTGTTCATATACAAAACTAACGAGTTTGTAGTTAGAACAAGATTTGGAAATTAATGTTAAGAACACAAAGTAGATTTTAAATGTACAGCTTTAATAACTAAGGTATTAGAAACACCAGTAATTGTGTTTTTAATACCTTTTCAGTGTGCGAAGTCTCTGGTCAGACAGCAGAACCCAGTGGACAGTGTTCGTTCCTGTCAGAGCCCAGAAACTCTGAACACTGGCCTCCGAGAGACACAAGGGACTTGCCACACACTGCAAGGCAGAGTTTATGCCCTACCCCTCCTTGCTGATCAGGATGGGAAGGTATAGCAACGAGGGGAGTAGTTGTGCCTGGAGAATCACCCTTTAGCTGGGAGCAAAGATGGAAGTGTGTCTTGGAACTGGGTGTTCAGCTAGTGGATGGAGCACCACTGCACGCCAGCACCAGCAGTTATATCCAAAGACCATCAGTCCTGACGACTTCAGTAAAAGTTATGCAGTGGTGGGCAGATAAGGCTCCTGCTCATCTGAGAGTGAAGTTCAAATGGGACTCTGTTGGGCCCCTGCACGTTATTTTTAAAATTTATTTTTTAATTCATACAGTAAAATGTACCTTTTTGGGGGGGGTGTACAGTTTTGACAAAGGCACCGAGTCATATAACCATCGCCATATTTAGGATACAGACAGTTCCATCAACCCCCAAATTTTCTCCTGTTATCACCCCCCAACCGCCATGATGAATCCCTGGCAACCACAGTTCTGTTCTCCATTTCCTACATTTTGCCTTTCCCAGAATGTCATATAAATGGAATTAGTAAGTAGCCTTTTGAGTCTGGCTTCTTCACTTAGCACCATGCGTTTGAAATGGACATTTTAAAAGCTTGCTGCATATTCCTCAAAGTGTTGCTCCACCATTCTATACCCACCCCTCTGCCCAGGGATATTTTGTAACACTTGCCAGCCCCCTGCATGCTTTTTTTTTTTTTAAAGATTTATTTATTTATTTGACAGAGAGAGACACAGCGAGAGAGGGAACACAAGCAGGGGGAGTGGAAGAGGGAAAAGCAGGCTCCCCGCCGAGCAGGGAGCCCGATGTGGGACTCGATCCCAGGACCCCGAGATCATGACCTGAACCGAAGGCAGACGCTTAACGACTGCGCCACCCAGGCGCCCCCTCTGCATGCTTACTTTTGAAGGCTTCCCCATAGCATTTCAAATATATTAAAACGTAGCCATTTTTCATATTTAAGGTAACTTTTTCCCTGTATTTTCTTGAAAAGATCTTTAAAAATTGCTTTTGAAATTACTTGATTTGGTGATTGCGACACTTCACTATCATGAGAAAAATATATTTTTAAAGCAAATAACAATGAAGCTCATAGGATTGGAAAGACATGTAATTACATTTATTAATTTTTCATTTTATAACTTTCTTATGGGAGCGCCAACACCTTTTTTTTTTTTTTCCAGGTTTCAAACATTCCTGCTTTGATGGAAAGCTCAACAACTCTGGGCACCGTGTCCCAAGCGCCTAACAGAGCCCCACAAGAATTCCATGGCTAAAGGCATCACGGTTCCAACCTACACCAGTGAGGGAAGGAAAGAGAAGGCTGCTTTCTCTGAATCATGGCAATGCCTAAGACAAAACAAAACATATGGCACAGTAATTCCTTTTTAGGATTTTATCTCACAAACACAATGTACTGTGTAAAAATGTATGTGCAAATGTGTTCACTGCAGCAGTACTGGGAATAGCTCTGCTGAGAGTCTATCATCAGACTGCTTTGCCTTTGGTACGTCACACACCGGGACACTACCCAGCCACGAGAACGGGTGAGGTAGATCTATACGTGCTAACAGTGAAATTGTCACAACTCAGGAAAAGCACAAGTTGCAAAAAAAGAATGTATAGCCTGGTGACATATCTGTAAAAATAAAAATCATCATGATTTTTTAACTGTTAGTAAACATGAAGGAAAAAAAATCGCAAGATATACGCCAGATGTAACCACAGCTACCTCCAGAGGAAAGAGTTTTCGTATGTGTGTGTATGTGATGGGATGGGGGGGTGCGGTGGGGGAAGGTTTCATGACTGACCTTTAGGTAACATTTGAATTTTTTGCCATGAGCATATTATTACTTTGGTGGTCAGGAAAGTTAAACAAACATTAAACAGCCCAAACTCAAGCAGGAGCATTGAAAAGATGTCCATCGATGTTCTGGATTTCCAAGCATGTTGTGGATGAGCTTTATAGACTGTTTTTGGGTAAGCAGGTCCCTTGTCCCCTTCTCTCAAGGTCAAAAAAGCCTAAGCAAAAACTTCTCCTTTCCCTTCATTCCACAAACTCTCTCCCACCCAGTAGTAATCATCGACAAAAAAGACACTTATCTGATACGCTTGAGAGGTGTCTGGAAAACAAGACTTTCCCACGGGGAAGTTAAAGAGCACCTTGGTTGAGAAGATAAATGGGGAGCTAGCATTCAAGTTCTGCATGGCACCTAAGAATTCCCAAGTCCATCAACAACATCTACTCTGAAGAGACCCTTCTCATCTGGGAAGGCTCTCAAATGCCGGCAGGTAAACACGGAGGTGATGTGCCATGTAGATAAACGTGCACACACAAAGCACCATGTCTGTAGGAGCTTCGGGGGTGTGCTCATTATGTCGAGGTATGGAGATACCGTCTCCCACGAGAAATTTGCAGAGACTTGAGTCAAAAGGGCCGCGTGAGAGAGCCTGCTTGAGAAAACCAGGCCCGCGATGCTGTTGGAAAAGTCCCAAGTCCATCCGCTCGGCGTCCTGTTGGCCTTACAAAGTCTGCTGGCAGTGGGCCTGTGGGCCCTCCTCGCTGGTGTCCGGGGGCCAGGCACAGTCTCGGGCTCCCACACCTGTGGAACTGCTTGGATACGACAGAGGCTGCTCCAAGGGACACTGACGCCGTGGTGACCCCGAGGGGCCTCTTTGCTTTCCCCCTACAACTGCTTCAGAAACTGTGAGTGTCCACACCTGGGTTCCCACAGTCACCTGTTCAGGACAAGCAGCAAAGACAGAAGAAGGAATGTTGTGGGACCAAGTGGCTTTTGTGGGGAACTAGGCGTGTGGGCATCGGGGTCTGCCCGGCACTCCTGCTCGCGACCGGCTGTGGGAGGGCGCAGGCCACAGCCAGAGGCAAAGCTGGGCGGCCACCAGGTTGAGGCTGCTTTTACCTCCCCGCGGCACGGCTGTCCTGGACGGCAGGCCCGAGGAAGCTGGGGAAGGCTGGTTTGTAAAGCGGGTCTCGTTTTCACTTAACAAATCTAACCGGTGCTTCCATCGTACCCTCTCTCACAGCCGACCAGGCCGCTTTTCCTTCCAGCTCATGGGAGCTTCTGAAGGCCACAAGAAGCAGCCCTTGGATCTGGACCTGAGACCCCTGACCCGTTCCCTGCTGCACAACCGCAGACTCAACCAGCCTCCAAGGTAAGACGCTTTTCCAGAAGGGGCCACAGGGAAGAAGGGCCGGATGGGGAGGTAGAATGAACTATGGAGACCCCAGCAAGAGGAAAGCAAATAAGGGGCTAAGGCATCCCCCGGAGATCACTAGAGGTGACATTTGTTTACCATCTAGTCACTGGGTTAGAAGGAAGGGTCAAGGCAAAACATGGCTCTCCTGGCTCGCCCCGTCTACTGCAGTCACCTGCAGTTTGCCCCATTCCCAGGAGTAGTTCACGATACCTGTTCAACTTCTCATCTCTGGTCAAGAGCTTCCTTCAAACTGACCCTCCTCACCCCCGGAACTCCCCCTGCTTTCCTCTGGCTAGAACCTGGCACGAATGCTCTTCTATTTCACTCAGTCCTCTGTGGCCACGGGTCTCGGTTCATGGCCCCTTCCACACTGAAAACTCTCCATACATTTCTTTTAAAACCTTTTATTCAATAATATATACTTTTAAAATTATAATATGTAACTGCCCGTCATGCCATATGTTGCCCCCGTGTCCCCACTGTGGAGTCTGTGGTTGGCTAGTTACCGTGGTCTGCTGGAAAAACAGGTGGCCACAGGCTGAGTCAAGGGGGCGCAGGGGGGCAACAGTAACCAACAACCATTTTGCATACCCTTCACATTTCCCATGCTTTCTGGGTCAGGAGGAAGTCAACAGGAAGCCAAAGGCGTGTGAACCTTTTACATTCAGAAGTGAGGTTTGATATACGGTGGTGGGCTGCCCTTCGGTTGGTCTGGTTCGTGCTGGCCAAACCTGCCACCATTTTGTGTCTGCTCACGGAACGTGATCTCTCTACACACGTTAAGACGTTTGATTTGGTTCTTGTTCTGCTTATGGAAAAGTGGGAGGAACCGCAACAGACCTGGGGAGAGAGACGGGAGGAGGGGAAAGACGGCATTAATCAATCTGACCCGGAGTGAGGACAGGCCTTCACTTGCCTGTGGCTTCCTTCTCTGGAAGTGCTGGGAGCACTGTGCAAGTTGGACTTTCCCATGCCACTTTGTGGAAAACCTAGTAAGAGCTAACTTTATGGTCTCAGGTTTCAAGCAATACCCTCTTCCTCCTGTGATCACCACTCACAGAGGCGGTCTTAGGCATGGTCTTCCGGGAAGAGCAAAGGGAAAGTTCCGGATATCGAGTGTGTCCCCCAGGCCTCCTCCCCACCTCTTGGGTCCAGAACATGGATTTAGAAGCACAGAGGCCTCTTGACCATTCTGCGCCAGCCGAGCCACAAGCTCAGCAGTCCAACCCCAGATCCCCGTCAGTCCTGACCCAATTTACTGAGGACATCTCGGGACTAATAATCAGATGACTGTATTTACGCCAGGAAAGCGCCGAGTCCACTAATAAACAAAGAGCAAAAAGGGAGCTCAAATATTTTTTAACTCTCCCCTGGGAGCAGCAGTGTGGCATGGCCTGAAAACCCCATTTCTCCTTCCATGTCCAGCACAGTGAAGTGGGCGGTGAGAGGCCAGCAACAGAATTCTAGAAGCAGTGTCTCAGAGATCGGCACTACAGCAATGAGAGAAAGGACTGTGCCCCCGGGAAGCCGTCAAAGAAACGTTTCATGAAAACTTTCCCTGGATCAAGGAAGGGTTCTACGTTCTTGATAAAGGCCACATGGTGCGGAAGGTTAAGAAAGGAAGGACTATTTGCCTTTAAGCACTTCAGCAACTGATTTCCAAGCGTCCAGCGCCACAGAGGGATCCGTCAGGGAAAAGCACACTAATTAAAGACACCACCATCTGCCAAATGCAGACACACAATAGCGTTTGCCTGCTTGTGATGCACGGAATGGGGGCGGAGAGAGATGTTCATCAACGCAGAGCACTCTGCCACAGAGGTGAAAGTTGCGCACTGAAATGGGCCAATCCCAGAAGCAGGTGCCCAAGGGGGAAGCAAGTACCAAGGAACTGCACGCACCCCACCGGGATACCACTCTGGCCCCGCCTCTCTCAATAAAGCAAAGTTCCACACGAAGGTGGGGATTCACTGCATCCCCCATACATGCATCTTTGCAGTTCAAGGTGTACCCCGCCTCTCCCCCAAGACACAGGAAATGCAAGCCTAAGGTCCCCAGAGCAGTGGCTGGTCTCCCGCTTGGGAAGGTGGTGGTTATCAACATTTTTATTTATGAAAACAAGCTTGAACACGGCATTTGTCTTTCATCTAAGGGCAGCAGGGCATCAGTCATACATCAGTCATCCAGGGATACAAAGAGGTGGCCAAGTGTGTCGCAAGTGGTCACTTGGAAAGGATCACAACCCAGGCAGTGGTGCTTTTCTGCAAACAGAAGGAGAGAGTTGGCTCCACGGGTCTTGAAGATTTATCCAAGCTTTCCATGGGGTGTCAAGATTTCTGTCCCAACCTCTTAGTCACCATTTACAGCAAGAAAAGCCAGCAAGTGCAAAACTGTTAATTTATTGATTCAATGAAAGTTTTTTTTAACAATCCCCAATACATGCAGTTCAGGATTAAGTATCACATTTGTAGCACATTGTTGAGTCTCTACAAAGAAGTACTCATCTCATCAGCTGTATAACCCATCACATCACTTTCCCCAGCCTCCTCGGCACCTGCTCGTAGTTGTTTCCATGAACACATCCATAGAGCTCAAAAGTATATTACTGGTTTTCTTGGCCAGATGTTGCACCACCAGCTCCCCTCCCCCACTCCCACCCTGGGGTTAGTTTTTTAAAAGCAGGACGTTATGCCATCTTAGATTGATTAAGCTCGCTGACAAACTCTGGCTTCTCGTGTGCTCCTGTGGACCCTGCTTTTGCTTTTGGAATGGCTTAGATTTCAATGACCTTAACTCTGCTCCATTATTATCCACCCCTATTTATTTGTAGGCGGGAAGTTTGCTTTTTCCTGTGGGTGCTCATGCAGTAACACAGGTTTCTAAACAAATCGTGCGGTCTGAACTGGCATTAAGGGAAACGGCTAAGTGGGCTCTCTTAGAACCATTTCAATGCATATATAAAAATTCTTCCAGTTGCTGCTTGTGTTCCCCAAATAGTTTTGCTTCCATCCTTACTACAGCACCTGGGAGAATTTAAGTCATTTCCCTGAGTTGGTGTGGGCTGAGACCCACGGCCGCCAGCTCTCTGGGACTGGGCATCTGCCTCGAGGGCACCACCTTCCGGTCCCGCTGGAACCACTCCAGGCGTCGTGCCTATTTCAGGACCCAATTCCAGCTCATGAAGGTGGTGTCCCCTAACTCTCTCAAGACGTCACGCTCCCTCAAGATCTACCCTTTGACTGTTTTTCTTATTGGTTCCCTTTCTTTTAACCACCTCCTGCCTGAGCCCCCAAGGATTACAAGCTCTTCTGCCTTCTCCAGCCAAGCAGTCTGAGTCCCCTCGTTCTCTGCAAGGGAACACAGCAGCTTTGAGCCTTGTGAGCAGTCATGTGCTAGAAAATGTCTGTTAGACCTGGCGTGGTGGCTGGTGCGTAGGCGCCTGCCTCCGAGAGCCGCCATCGGCCCTGCTGTCATCGGTGAGAAGACCCAGGAATGCTTGGTCTGCACTGTCCGGTTGGCTTCTCCCACCCAGTCCCCTCCCACAGGGACGGCACAGGAGCGGGCAGCTGATACGATCCAGGGGAGAGCGAACTGCAAGCAACCTGCAGATGAAAAGATCACTTGGCATCTCATCAGTTCTGCTCTCGCCATGGGACTTGTCAGCTGAAGCCAAGCCTTGCACTTACGCTCACTTGTGGCCCATCAGCCCTGACAGACCGATCTGTATTTGGCATAAGAACTCTTTGTTCTCACCATACCAGGCCTATGTTGTCGAACACAGGCAGGACCTGAGATGATAGTGTAACACTACCCTGTTCCCCACATTTTTTGCTTTTCTTTAGGAAATAACGAAGTCCTCATCATAGGCACTTTTAACCAGTTAGAAGGTAACAAAGCAAACAAAATGGCTAATCAAAAATACTGAGATGAACTTAAGAAATAAATCTGCTGACCGAAAAGGGTATTGGGTGGGTCAATATACCAGAGCTGAGTCTGAGAGGAGACTCCCACTCATTCATTCACACACACTCACTCACTCACTCACACACACTCTCTCTCTCCTTCTTCTTTCCCTGCCCCCTCCCCCCGCCCACTTTTGGAACTCTCCATGACCATCTCCTAGCCTAGGTTAAGTACTCTGAAATCTCGGGGGGAGCTAGGTCCATCTGACCACAAAATGGCTCTGGAGATGGGTAAGAGAAAAGGTCTGGACTGGACTCACTTCAGTTTGGTAAAGAACAACCTACAGCCAGCCAGCCAGCCAGCTAGGTGTCAAGACCAGACTCAGAAAGGGGCAGGCATTTTAAACTCAGTCATGCTAAGGCAGGAAGAGAAGTGGAAAGCATAGGTGGTGGAGAAGCAAACCATGCACAAAAACCAGAATTACTCCCGTGCCAAAGCTGCAGTCACGGAGCCCCAGGAAAGGCAGGTCCGCTGTGTCTGCACCGACTAACCCGTGATCAACGGAGAGAGACGGTACGTCCATCACCTGACTATACTCCTCTAGGTGCTTTCACTGCCTCTGGGGAGCCCAAGGGAAAGAAATAGGGTTACTACTTCACCGAGACCCTCCGGTATGCTCCCCCTGCCTGGTCCAGACAGGCAACTTAAAAAAAAAAAAAAAAAAAAAATTTCCCAAATAATCTTCTAAGTTCCCCAAATAGAACTAATGATGTAATGTATGGGGATTAACATAAGAATAAAAAAAAAAAAAAAAAAAAAAAGATGGGAGGGGAGAGAGTGAGTGACAGAGGAGGAGATGAGAGGTAGGGGGCAAAAAAGACACAAAGTGGCACATCTCCCTGATAATTGCCAACAGTGTTGCCTAGAAGGGCACATCAGAAGGCTTCCTTGGCCTGACATGCCAATACAGGTCCAGCTGAGAGCTCATGCCGTGGCTTTGATTTTCAAGTAGAACAAATGTATACCTCAATATACAGAATGTGCAATACAGGCAGGTAGTATTGGTATGAGAATCTTAACTGAATGCATTTTCTGGCTTTGGGGTCTTATTTTTAATTTTCAATCTGTAAGCTCAACTCTAGTTAAGAGTTTTATTTGCATTTTAAATTCCCACCGACCAAATGACAAAAATACAATCTACATTTAGAGATAGGACCTGCTACCAATACCAATACGATTTTATTGGAATATGGAATGTAAACAGATGTTTTCAAACAAACAATCTAACCTTATAAAAATGTATGGCATTATTAAATAGCTAATAAAGAAATCCTATGGTCTGATGTGGATAGACACCTCGAGCTCTAGCCTAGCTGTAAAGTCCCCACAGCTGTGGCATGGTTCTGCCGCTGGGGGAGGGGACTGCTTGCAAACCAGACTGGTGACAAGTCCCCAAAATGAAATCAGCTTGACTATTTTCTTCTCAAAGCAGAATCTAGCTTCCTTTGCTGACACGAGGCTGGCACAACGGATCCCGAGCTTTGACACTGGCTCTAGGAACTCCAACTAACCCCCCAGGCCCCTCGTATGATGCTCTGCTCAGGCTTTGGGGAACAGGCTGGCCCTGCACACATGACCCCAGTCCCTGCACATGAGAAGGACAGCTCTGCCATCACGTTCACACATGACCTCTCGGAGTGTCAAGATGCAGCTTACCCTGATTACAGAGGGAAATTGCTTCTTGTGGGGATAAAAAGAGGCAAAAAAGGGTGGTGGTGGGGGGTGGGAGTACATTTTTCTCACCCAGTAGGTCATTCCTAAATACATTCTAATAGGATGTTTCTTATTCCCTAACCTGCCTGAAGACCGACTTTCCAGCTTTCATTATGGTTGTGACCAAAAAGCCTCTGTTTCAGAGAGGTGCACGAAAACAGGCACACACACTGGGATGTATGTGCTGGGAAATGGTGAGGTTTTCCTTACAAGGCTGCAAAAGGAAAAAAAAGGCTACACGGAAAAAATAGCAACAAGATTTTATGGTTAGGCAAATCAACGAAGGTTACAGTGAGCTCCAAGTTATGCACTTCGCATCAAACTTCTGAGGAGACAGATGGACCTGTTCACGGCGTCACAAGGTTTCAAGTGATGCCTGCTGACGGCAAAGGGGCCTCTTGTGAGTGACTGCAGTTTGCTCCCAAATGAATACACTCAGAAGAAAACTGCAGGGATGACGTACATTTCCTAGAGAGCTCATGTCATAAAAAAATACATAAAACATGAATTTGTAAAAGAGCTTAAAAAAAAAAATACTGTCACTGTTTTAATATCTCCTTTTCGTAAATGAGGCTGGTGTGTCAGTATAGACTGCTGACGTTTTGCTAAAACTTGAGGCTGAATCTCACCGAAGGAAACCCAGACCACAGTGGAATAGATAGGAAGTCAGATATTCAGAGCTTGTTGACTGAACGGGTTAATTCAACAGTGGTCTCCTGTTAAATAAAGGTAAATGTACAACAACTCCGAGTCTCTCATCTCCCATGCATTCCAAAGGGAGCGTTCCCTCAGGTCCTGAACTATGTGCATCGTCACGCTGCCGTAGCGGCAGCTCCCTGCAAACTAGTACTGGGGGATTTCTTGCTTTTTGACAGACAGGTCTTTACTCTTCTTTGCATTTAGAAGGAATGACTAGAATTTCTTTTTATCACATTGTAGTTTTCCTTCCAGATTTGTGTTTGGTTGGTTGGATTTATTGGCAAGCATCAATGCCGCATTACCCGTCGCCTTCCAAGTGTTCACCGGGCTGCCGTGAGGCCACTGGAAAGCACAGCATTGTCTGCAGAGGGCTGGGACTGCTCCTTCACCACGGGGTCTGCAAGAAAACAGGATGGAAGTCAGGCGAATCCGGGCTGGAAGGTGTGGGAGACACCATCATGACAAACCCCCTTCCGCAGTGGGATAGAGCGAGACTGACAGACTGACGAGAAAGCCAGGGTCAGAAGGACAAAAGAAATTACAGAACTAAGGTGAGAGAAAAATCAGACACTGAAAAATAATCAGGGGAGTCTGCTCTTCTAGTCAACTCTTGCACTTCCCTCAGAGGGCAAGTTCAACTATGGAGACTCCTGGAGAAGAGAGGCCCACAAACACTGACTTCCCACTGTTCAAAATCACTACTAATGTTCTTATGTGTTATTTTCCTTGAATACTAATGTCAGATCCAACCCCCAATTTCTTCAAATCATGTGCGGTAATGAGCACTTTGGAGCAAAGAAATGAAAAGAGCCATTAGAAGACCTATCAATTTTAAGCGACAGTCATTTGAAACACTTTTTTTTTTTTTAATACAGAAGATGTGTATTCAGAAAAGTGGACGGATCATGAATTACATATTGCAAACACCAGAATTCTTAATTGGATCTAACTCAAAGGGTGAAAATAGCTTTCGGTGCCAGAAATTGGAAAGAGGACCCCTGAGGTGCACTTGTCCGAGGTCTAGAAGGCCAAAGGGTAAAACCTTTCCAATTTGTTGTCTACTAATGCTTATGGGCGGGCAGGTTCAAGATTTATATTATTCAGGTAAGATCTGCTTAATCTCCAGACGGAAAGAAAAGAAAGGAAGATCCCATACTGGACAAGCCAACAGACAGGCTGAAGGTTTTCTTCTCCATTCAGAGAGTGAGCTGAGACAGGTCCCATAACCTTTATCCCCAGTCTCCTCTGTGCCTGGACTAAGTCATCTTACGTTGCCAGCAATTAAGGGGAAAGTTTATTTGAGACATACTTTATTTCGGGGGGAAGGGCCGTACACATGCAGACAATACGCAACCACAGGCATTGAATACAATACACACACTTGGAAGTGAGGCCTAAAAAATCTTTAACTGAGGTAGGATTTTAGTGGGGTCCTTTTTTTTTTAATCTTTTATTTATTTCTTTGAGAGAATGAGAGAGAACATGAGAGGGGGGAGGGGCAGAGGGAGAAGCAGGCTTCCTGCTGAGCAGGGAGCCTGACACGGGGCTCGATCCCAGAACCCTGGGATCATGACCTGAGCTGAAGGCAGACGCTTAACCAACTGAGCCACCCAGGCGCCTTAGTGGGGTCTTTCCACACCTGCTTTCCTTTCCTCAAGTTCCTTTTATTTATTTAACTCATTTCCTTCTTTAAAAATATACTACGGGGGGGGGCGCCTGGGTGGCTCAGTCGTTAAGCGTCTGCCTTCGGCTCAGGTCGTGATCCCAGGGTCCTGGGATCGAGCCCCGCATCGGGCTCCTTGCTCCACGGGAAGCCTGCTTCTCCCTCTCCCACTCCCGCTGCTTGTGTTCCCTCTCTCGCTGT